GTCATGCTAAAATTAATGATGAGGTCATAAAAATCACATGTTCACGCGGTTTTCCATGAAAATTGCTCCTTCATTTCGCTATTTCTCGAATGCTAATTTTTTGTTTTCTCACTTTGTGCCATTTTTTTCAGCCAACATTGTCCCTCGCGGCGTGTTTCATCTTCTCAGCATTTTGTCCTCGAAATTGAGCGTTTTGCCTTTCCTTCCCCATTGCAAGAAATACTGATTGGAGTTTGCTTTCATAGCGATTAAACTTTGAATTAAATTAAACGTTGTGCATTTTGGTACAAGAAAACAAAGTTTTTGCTGATGCAGTAGAAGTGTCGGCAGTAACATTTAAAGATGTCCACCGAGCGGAAGTTCTCACTTCACTCGCCTTGCCTCATTTTTTAGTGTGCATGTCTCTCATGCTGGACCATTGAGTTTGAGTTCGTACCTGACACAATTCGCCTCATTTGCTTCAAGTGCTTAGCGGCCGATGGCTATGAGCTCCTGCCTTGTGGATGCGATCAGAAAAATTCGAATGCCACTGTCCATCGGCCGGCCGCAATCGGAAACGTTTAAGTGCACGTCGAACGCCATCATCGAACGTTGATCAATGCGTTGTGCAAGTCCCGCCGGCACAACGTTTAACCTCGACAGCAACGTTATCTTCACGTTCGTGAGGATCAATATTTTACAGCCGGACCATCCGGGAGACAAATTGACACTGTAAGCGGCAGCAAAATTCGTAAACAATTTCATTATTAACAATATCAGCGACGTTTCCTGGCAGCCGGTGAGCGAACGTTTTACACCTCTGGCCGTCCAGTTTCGGCCGACCCGACCTCTTCACAAGGATTGCATATTGTCTTGTTGCCCTCTCCGATTACTTATGGTAAATTACCATCAATTCAATTTAGCGCTGTAGATGTGTAATTACGGACACTTGCGAATGAACGAGCAAATGGCCCTGAATTTCGAAACCTCTTCCATTAACTCCGCGAGTACGTGATGATATCAGAAGCGTGATGTCAAGCACAACCTGATGGAATTATGCAGCAATGAATCAAAATAATGAAATAAATTTTTAAATGCAGATATCCTACGCATTTGTTAAACACGAAATACTTATGAAATGCTTCAACATGTCGAACTAATTTCGCATGGCTACCGTCTCTTAAATATAAAGAATGGATATATCTGCCAAAATTGTACTCCGATGTTATGAGCTTGGTAGAAAACCGTTAGTCCAGTGAAATGACAAAAGAGTGATACATCAAATTTGGATATATTAGTAAGGCTCTGTGAAACTAACCTAACTCAATGAGCTATAAATTGAGTTCCAATAATAAGAATAAGACATTGCCCTTTCAAAAACTGCAAAGCATTCGACTAATGTGATGGAATATGTTATGAGATTAGCTTCCTTTTGCTTTACAAGTTAGCTAGCTGACTAATCCAACAGCAATTGATGAAACAAGTCGAAAACATAACTCTGACGTTCTGGTATGGACACCACTAGTGGGAGAAATTGATGAAAATGTCGCAAAGTCTGTTCAGATCCTTTTGTAGTTTTTTCCAGGCCGATAGAAGATGGTGTTTTTCTTTTTACAACCGTTTTTGTTTCTATTGATTTCTTGGATGAGTCTGGCTTGGTCTCACATATATATGTATACCTCTTCCAAAGACCGAACTTTGAGAAAGCCATATATAAGCGAATAGGAAATAAACTCGGAAGTTGTAATTGTACACTGCCAGTGGTTAAGAAGTAAACCTTTGGGATAAAGCAGTAAACCCAGCCATCCATTAAGGCATGGTAATTTAAATGAATAGTAGAACAGCAGAGCTACGTACAACAGGAATATTCTCACTTAGCTGAAGAGAAAACGAATTAGATTGTGAAAAAGTATTTACTCAGATCAGCTCCAAATATTAAATTAGGAAACAGAAGATACGGTGCATGTCAAAAATTGGAAAAGACTACTGATCGAACTCGAGGAATACATGAATAGATCCAATAAGAAAACAAGGAGAAGGCAAGAGTGCGACTGGTTTCGAATAAACTTTAAAAAAAAATCAACTTATGTCGCTGGTAACATGATGATGAAAAAGGGGCTGCACATAAATAATAACGAATGATAACCAAGGGTGAGTAAGGCCGTGAGCAAGAGTAAAATAAAAAAGAGGGTCCCAAATAACGATGCAAATTGCTGCAGCGCTAATACGCTTCCTGCCGTAGTTAATGGCGAAGGACCAAAAAATTCACAAATTCCTTAAGTACGAACGAAATCGGAACAGCCGATGTCAAAAAGTTAACTTCATTAAACTGTGGTTTAACAATGGTAGCAATCCATAAGTACTTATCCCAAAATTATATTTTTATCATGAAGTTTTCATGCTGGGCAAGTTGATTCCATGCATGGATCGGCCAGAGAACCCAACGCCTCAGCTCTGTTCTGCTTTACAAGGTCATGCAGACTCAAGGTCTTTTCCTTAATAGTTCTGACCCTGAGGGGAATATGGTATTACTTTTGATCCTAATTGAGAGTTTTTGCAAAATTTCATTTATGCGCAGACGCAAAGTTTCTCCCACTCATTGTGAAGCACTTTGCTCTTTGCCAGAGTTCAAAGTGGTCAGCGGAACTGACAAATCATGACTTACTTTTTCAAATTATTGATTAAGCGTTCAGATTTTATTCCAGAGTCATGTCCTTACTCTTAGCCATGCGACTTCGCTATCCCACAATGTCACTTACTGAACAGTTACAGATTATAATTGAAAAGTGTCTTAACATGAGAAGTGGAGAAAGAGCAACTCAAAGAAAGCAGCACCGAACTTGCAGAAAGTTTTGTTTAACTGTGATTCATGTATTGTGCCTTCATTATTATATTCACATTAAGGAAGAATACAGGTGCAGCTAAGATCAATAAAAATTTCACTGAGGGTATGCATACTCTATACTTTAAATCATAGCTACAAAAATGCCTATGCTCTATCTTAAGAGAGGACACTATGCCTTTTTACACTTTACCATTGCCAAATGATGAATAAATGGGCACGAACATTAAAGATTCACCGCACTTTCCCGTCGAATTCGGCTGCTTGCACCATAGATGTTACGTAAATGCAGAAAGCTACGTTTAAGAGCATAAAAGCTGCCCATAAGCTCAAAGTATCATTTGATAAACACCAAACACACGTAGTTATAGTTAGTATTTAACTAAATGTTACTGGTTTGCTGCTATCAATTACTGAATAAGAAAGGAACTAAAAAGTGGTAGCAATGACTCAGCATAAGTTTCAGAAAACAGCCGCTCCTCGATTTCTTGCAGCTTTATCCTGCCCATAACTTAAGAAGCTAGAACAAAGTCTATGTTTTCAGCGTTTTGGAATCTGCTTGGTGAGTAAAAATTTATTAGGGCGTTAATAATGCATCGCTCATTTATAAGCATCGCAAATTCTATGGAGAGGGATTCTTGTCAAGTCCTAATACTCAGTCGCAAATGTATCCAAGTGCAATTAGGACTAACAATGCATGATTCTTTCAAGATCAGATTTCGCTGCGTATTTCACTGCTCCGCTGCTTTGCTTTATGCAGTAGTATACAAGGAGACGAGTACTAGTTCCTCGAAAGCCGTTCGTAAGAAACTCGATGATAATGATGGGTGATGCGCGATCACATCCAGCACTGCAGGTCTCAAATATCACGAAGCCATGACTTTCTTAAAAGACTCTCCCCACACCTAGGAATAAAGGGTGGTAGAGTACGCCGTGAAACATGGTCTTGAAGGAATCATGCACTACTTGACATACTCTGATGTATGAAAATATTTCGCAGATTATGCTGTAATTAAGATTAAAATAAAAATTACCAGTCTAAATGCCTCGAGTTTGTGACTCGTTATAAATTTTACTTTCATTTTAAAGTCTAGCATTTGTTCTACTAGACTGTTAGCCTTACTCAAGGCTGCTGCATATTATTTAGCACCAATTTATCCAGTTATACTGCAGTTAAACCTTAGTCTTGTTATTATGAAGTTCTTCAGTAACTGAAGTCGAAGTTCCTGTAACAGAAGAATGCATTTTGTCTCGGTTTTCATAATTAATCAAAAACGCCGGTCATGGTCATGAATACTCGGCACCAAATTGTACAGCTTATATGCTAATTCTTTATGCCTATGACTAGCCAGACCAAAGCTTTCAGCCTTTCCTTCAAAATGGGCAAGCAGACAGTCTCAAGACGTTAATAACTTGTTAAACTTTAAAATCTCGGCCAAGCGAAACTCATGATTGAAGCTCAAGGCTGCTTAAATCCGTGAAAAGCAGAAGGAATGCTTCGAAAATTTTCTTATTGAGTATCTAGATATTTCTGATTCACAAATCCAAATCATGAAACTAGTGCCAGAGAAATAACGCCAATGTGGAGCAGAACTCATTAAACACCAGCAGAAATCAACCGTAAAATAGATCAAGCAATTATTGGAAATGATGTGTCCAAAAGTGTGCCTTAACGCTAAGCGACGCTCAAAAGCAGGTAGACCCTGAAGGTCGATTTCTGTCCGTAATCAGATTTGGCTGAATTTAATGGCTACATATCAGGAAAAGCTTTTTTGCCTATGCCAAATTGTGGCTTAATTATTTTACAAGAATTACCGCTCACTGCTGCTTGGTGCTGTCATGTTCTCAGCATAATGACTTCATCGCATAGACCGCAAGGATTTAACTTAATCACGCGACTTGAAAACTCTTAATGAATAACTGTAAATAATCTGCTTGTTTATAATCTATTATTCTAATAGTCTTTGTCACCTTCAGCTAATCTCCAAATAATCAGAGTCATTTCGGACCCAATTCTCCGCTTCCTCTTACGAGAATACAATCCTCAAAGTAGGATTAATTTGAGCAGAGTTCAAGATATCATGTTTCTAAGATTGCTGCCATGGCGTTTCAGAATGTCATTCATCAGTAATATTAGTTCAATGTCAGAATGTAACTGTAAGATGAATTATGCAACGAATGAACCTGCGCCATTTTGGAAGATGTTATTAATGACGCAGCTACTATTCGAAACAAACTCAAAAAATTATATCTGCACTGCTATATATCCACTATTATCTATTCATGCTCCTGAAATTGTATGAATCTGGCATCCAAAATAGGATCAGAAAAATGTCTCCAACTTGACAGATTCTTTCGATACTGCATACAACAGAAGTGCTACATTTAACCCTGATAGCGAATATTATACTTATCTTGCAGTTCTACAGAAGGTGCGAGAATGAATACGTGACAACGTTTTTGCAAACTGTAGTAAACAGCAAATGAAGGGTCAGATTTCTCGTTTTCTCAACTGAACGTGCAAAATTATCAAAAGCCTCTATTTCAGTAACATAGTGGTACTAACATCTAAATGTCAGCTTTTTAAGCTTAAAGCTTGAAGCTTGAAATCATTCTCCTGCCTAAAAATTATTACGATGCAGATTTCTACGGTAAAGCTGACGATATAGAGGCATTAACATTCACCAGCATTAAACAGCTTTCAATATCGGTACAAAGAGGCATGCAAGGGAAAAATATTCGGTATAGTGATCTGTAAGAGCTGGAGGCTATTAATCCATAAAATATTTTCTTGATTGATGGTGGGGAAGCCAAAGCGATAAAAAATAATAAAAATTATATTTAAAATCGGCGTATTTCATTGCGGATATTAATTGCATTGACTGATCAACTCTTAACCCTAAATCGAAGTTGTCTTGATGTC